CCTGTCCTCTTATTCAGGGAGGCCATGGAGACCTGACGAGATGGACTTGAACCAGTGTCCACTCTATGAAGAGGAGGGTCAACACAGAGAAAACATCTCATTCATGCTTCCAAGTGAAGCCAGATATGCTAGAGCAGTACCTTTGACTTATCTTCACAAAGGTGGAACTGGGAAAAGATAGGAGCCAGAGGCTCCTCCCAAGCCCATTTGACCCCTGAGGAACTGATCCTCAAATGACCTTAAGTATAAAAATAAGTTGATTTATTTGGGCCAACTGTATGGTCTTAAACACCCAAAAGGAAAGTATAACCAAAGAGTAAAGTCATCAGTATATTTCTTTAAGAGTTCAAGAGATTACACTTCCCAGAAATTAGGCTTAAGTCTATATAAAAAGTTATTTAGACAATTATTTCTCATAACCAGAAAGTGTTGCTCAGATGTAAGACTTCAAATCTTGGTCTCCAATACTGTGGTGCCCACCTGTAGCTAAGGGAGACAATCAGCTATTGTTCTAAAAAGATGGGTAAATTTTTTTTCTCCCCCTGCCTAGAAGCCTTTGAGAGGGAACTGACACTCTTTCTAACCACTCCAACAGCTATGAAAATACTTGAAAGCAAATTTTGTATCCATCACTCTAGAGTCCAGTCTTGGAAGACAGAAGAAAAATGAGGAGGAACCCTATACAGGGATGCTTTCGGAAGCCCTTGTTAAGAAATTCCAATGGATTCCCATATGAACATTGAAAATTGCCCTGTTCTGACATTTTTCTAGTTCCCTGTCTAGAACTTGTAATGCTAATTATTCTTGCCTTAACTTCTCCTTCACATCTCCTATTCAGGATTCAAGGACTTTCTTTTTCCCCTAGAGATAAGAGTTATGCAATTTGGGAATCTTTTAGATTCCACTGAGGGGGTACTTCAATTGCCTCACCCTGTGTCCCTGTTCAGCATGGAAGAAGCCAGAGTGGTCTGTGTCCCTATTCCCTATTGGACATTTGGGTAACCTTTTCAGAGGATTGTGTGATAAGAATAGGAGGTAGAAATTGGCTAGGCAGTTAGGGTAAAAAGACCCCAAAGAAAAGTAGACAGTTTCTTGTCTAAAACTCACAATGTCCTTAGGCCTCTTAGCAACATACTCCATTTCAAAGGCCAAAAATGTTGACAATATTTTGGACCTTTTATCTAATCCTTCAAAGATTTTAGGGTTACCTCTTCCGAGGGGGGAATGTTAGAGTAGGCAAAAGCCCCATAAAAAATAAATCAAAGAAGAAGAAAGAGTACATGAAGTTATCAGAAAACAGTGATGGGGAGATATGGGAGGAATTGAAAGTCCTTGAATCCTGAATAGGAGATGAAAGGAGAAATAAAGGCAAGAGTCGTTAGTATTACAAGTTCTAGACAGGGAACTAGAAAAAAAGTCAGAAGAGGGCGATTTTCAAATGTTCATATGAGAGTCCATTGGAGTTTCTTGACAAGGGCTTCCCAAAGCATCCCTCTATTGGGTTCTTCTTCATTTTTCTTTTGTCTTCCAAAGCTGGGAAGAGTGGCTGGAAAGAGTGGCTGGATATTCAGGTGAGGGTCCAGCTTGGCACTCCTTTAATGAATAAGTACAACTGTCAACAAGCCCAATTGTGAGTATGTTTAGCAGTCAGTCTCAGCCAAAGTCATGATGATGGTAGTTATTTCTTGCAGAAGGAGCTGCTGTATATCATCATCTTAAAAGGCCCTGGAATTTAAAGGGATTTGGTGCTAGGAGCCACATATGAGGGAGAACATACATCGTTTATTTTTTTTGAGTCTGTGTTACTTCACTTAGTATAACAGTTTCTAGGGCCATCCATTTACCTGCAAATTTCATTGTTTCATCTTTCTTTATTGCAGAATAGAACTCCATTGTGTAAATATGCCACATTTTTATTAATCACTCATCAGTTGAGGGACACTTAGGTTGCTTCCATCTCTTAGCTATTGTGAAAAGAGCAGCAACAAACATGGTTGTACAAGTGTCTCTACAGTAGGATGAGTCCTTTGGGTATATGCCAAGGAGTGGTATAACCGGGTCATATGTTAGGTTCATTTTTAGTTTTCTGAGTTTTCCACACTGTTTTCCATAGAGGCTACACGAGTTTGCAATGCCACCAGCAGTGAATGAAAGTTCCCCTTTCTCCACATCGTTGCCAGCATTTGGTATTATTTATTCTCTTGATCCTAGCCAGTGTGATTGGGGTAAGGTGATACCTTAGGGTGGTTTTAATTTACATATCCCTAATTACTAATGATGTTGAACCCTTTTTGAGATGTTTGTTAGCCATCTTTATTTCTTCCTTTGAGAACTCTCTGTTTAGATCTTTAGTCCATCTTTTAATTGGGTCATTTAGTTTCTCACTTCTTTGTTTTTTGAGTTCTTTATATATTCTGGATGTTAAACCTCTGTCAGATGTGTCACTGATGATGATTTTTTTCCCCATTCTGTACATTTTCTCTTCACTTTAATATTTTTATTATTTTTATTTTATGTGTATGCATGTATTGCCTGTGTGTAGGTAAATGCACCCATGTCATACAATGCCCGAAGAGCTGTTGGATCACCTGGAAGTAGAGCTACAGACAGTTGTTAGCTGCCATGTGGGTGCTGGGATTTGAACCCAGGTTTTCTGCAAGAACAATCAGTGTTCTTAACCACTGAGCCATCTTTCCAGCCCCTTCTCTTCACTTTTTTGATTGTTTCTTTTGCTGTACAGAAGCTTTTTAGTTTAATGAAGTCCCACTTACTGATTGCTGACCTTAATTCCTGAGCAACTTCTGTCTGATTTAGAAAATCCTTTCCTACACCTATATCCTGTAAGTTACTGCCAATATTTTCTTCTAATAGTTTCAGGGCTTCTAGTTTCACAATAAGGTCCTTGATCCATTTGGAGTTGACTTTTGTGCAAGATGAAAGGTAAGGGTCTAGTTTCATTCTTCTATAGGTGGAGATCCAGTTTTGCCAGCACCATTTGTTGAAGATGCTGTCTTTCCTCCACTGTGTGTTCTTGGCACATTTGTCAAATATCAAGTGGCTGAAACTGTATGTACTTGGATTTGGAT